GATGAAACTTCTCACAATGTTTCAACATCATAAGGAGAAGTTCCTAACAAAGTTTCATTACAATTGGGTCTCTTACAAAAAAAAGTTTATTTAGTGCATGTGTCCACTTTGTTAAAGAAATAAGTCAATAACAGTTTTATTTTGTACTAAAATGAAAAATATTATAAAATACACACTCGCTAAAATCACTTCCTTAATGGAGAAACGGTACTTCTTTCCATATTAATAATGTTCATTAATTTTGTACATTTATTATTATCAACGAAATTAATTTATTTAAATAAAACTTCTAAAATTGTAGTAAAGTGAGTTTCATGCAGAATTTAAAAGTGAGTTTTCCTAGTAAAGAATACAAGCGTATGCTATGAATTGAATTGTTCTGTGACTGAAGGAATCGCAAGTCCTTCGTAGGGAGTTTGTTGAATACAAATTTGCAGGAATTTTGTAGTAACTCGATCTTTGTAAGTTACACAAGTATTTTTTTTGAACTTCAGTACGAGTATAAAGTGATCAAAAACATCGAAAATCATGATGCTATAAATTGCCTAATAGAAAGAGATATAGGCTTCCTCACCAAGTTATGAGACAAGATCCAGGAACAAGCCCAAAATACAGAAGCACATCAAATTGCTCGCCAAGATGCAGTTAGAAGTCAGGAGCAGTTTTGTGACAGAGAGGCGTACCATTCAGTTCACCAAGATACTTACCGAACAGCCACCCTTAGGGCAGCATTTCTGCTAGTTTTAGAATATTAGGTATAAAGGCTCAAACCTACATATCTCCAGATGTGTACATAAAAAATATCTGTATGTCATAATACATTCTGGTATAACCAGTTGATGGTTATTCAGAAATACAAAGTTTTTCAATGATACATTTTCTATCTTCATTTTACTCTGTATTGGGGTTTCATGTTATTGTCTTTTTGAAATAAATTCATTGATATCTTTCTTTCTTTTGTCTATAGTTAAATGCAACACACATTAGTAAAACTTAGAAGAAAAAAAAGCTGTGAGAATCTATATACATATACATGCTTCACTCAAAAAGAAATATTGTTTATTCTGGATTATACTTTACAACCCAAAACATCATTTTCTAGAATTTTAAAACAATAACAAAAAAATTGACTTTACATAAAGTACCTTCATAGGTATTCTGTATCAAACTGAAAATAAAGTTAGCTTTATGTGCCCAGGCAACATCAATATACAACTGACTTTACATAAAGTACCTTCATAGGTATTCTGTATCAAACTGAATATAGAGTTAGTTTTATGTGCCCAGCAACATCAATATACAACTGACTTTACATAAAGTACCTTCATAGGTATTCTGTATCAAACTGAATGTAGAGTTAGCTTTATGTGCCCATGCAACATCAATATACAACTGGCTTTACATAAAGTACCTTCATAGGTATTCTGTATGAAATTGAATGTAGAGTTAGCTTTATGTGCCCATGCAACATCAATATACAACTGACTTTACATAAAGTACCTTCATAGGTATTCTGTATGAAACTGAATATAAAGTTAGCTTTATGTGCCCATGCAACATCAATATACAACTGTATGTATGTGTGGAAAAAACAATAGAAAAGTGAATATTTATCATAACACACCTTATTTTTTTAACAATCAGAAGCAATGCCACAACAAATACATTTTGAGCAAATGATATCTAACCCTATTTAATATTACTAATTATACAAAATTTTCATAAACTGAGAACCTCACAAGCTATAAACACATATACAAACCACATCTGCTTCTCAATTACCTGTTTTTTTATATATATTTTGTTCTTACTGACAGGCTAACATACAACTGTTATCATCATATTCAATAGATTAACATTTTACTTATTACAACATTACCATTTAACGCAATAGTGGTTCACATCTAATAATTTGTGAAAAGCACACACTAAATAATATTATGTCTACACATACATAAAAACACATCCTTCTGTTTATATCCCTAATGTCTACTGCAACATTTTTAACATAATAAGTCAGGGAGCTAAAATGAAACTATATTTTGCACGCAGTAACATATAAACCAAAACCACATATTACAGATAATAATTACTCTACAGTAACATTATCTATTGTGGACAAGCGGTGAAAGTTCACTAAATACCTTATCAAACGAGACTTTAGATAATAATATAAAAAGATAAATAAATATTTTTACAGATATTACAAGAAAATTTAAATATACAAAAATTCAAGAAACAACTCTGATTTACAGGAAAAAGTTCACTCACAGAATTTAGGAAAACAAACTTATTATTAAGTTATATCTTGACCCAGGTACATTTAACTATGATTTTATGAGATGAAGTGTATTTCAATATGGCCAGAGGCAGGTTAAGGGTTATATGGGCTAAATTTTTCTACCGGAGCTATTATTGTTACGACTAAAGATTAAGATACAAAATACTAAACCTCATAACGGGCTTGGAGCTTTAGCCCCCATCTTAATCCGCCTTTGGTTCTGTTGTGTTTTGCAAACATCTGGTTCTTACATCAGTTTTAGTTGTGTGTGTGTTTTTTGTATGGTTTCAAGAATGTGTTGTGTAAAAGAAAACTTTGTTAATGTTGTCTTTAATAATAAGAACTCTTATCTGGAAACTACAGAAATGCAAAGGAATTATTTGATAAGTTTTTTTCTTTAGTATTATAAAGAAAATAATGCTGTGAAATTTGATCATTTGGATTTTAAATGTTGCAAGAGTTTGGTTTGTTGTCTTGAAGGTAGCATCTTTCGAGTTCATCCGCTAACTGTTTTAAAAAAAATAACGATGCTAACTGTCTTAAACAAGTGATAATTCCATCACGAAAGTTAATGTAAATGTTTTTCGGGTAGAATAATGAATATTGTTTTTATTCAAAAATACTAAGATAACATTTAAATTAATGTTTAAAAATTCTACTTGGATCTCTAATGGACTTTACACATATTTATATAGAAATAAAACAAGACATTCCTTCTTCATCACATACTTCAACTGAAGTAATATGGATATACGTCTTACAAATCAGTGAAAAATGTGACGGAAACTTTTGATATTCTTGTCAGGAATTTTGTCTAAGTTGCATACATACTGTAATTTTCTGAATATAATACATTCACAAATATAACCTGCACACTAACCTTCACGAGTAACGAGTCAAATTTGCTTTATCACCATAAATAATATGTACCTAGACTTTTGAAATACTGCGGTCAAAGTAACTCTTTGATGATAAGAATGTCAATCTGCCAAAATCACTAAAAGCAAGTAAGCCTTAATGCTTGATATATAGAGAACGGTGATTTGTCAATCTGCAAAATCACTAAAAGCAAGTAAGCCTTAATGCTTGATATATAGAGAACGGTGATTTGTCAATCTGCAAAATCACTAAAAGCAAGAAGCCTTAATGCTTGATATATAGAGAACATTGATTTGGACTTTAAATTTGAAAGTTTTACTGAAAGCAATTTTTATTTTTGAATATCAAATGAGATGTAGCAATAACTCGTTTGGTATTTCCAAATATTTATAAGTGTGCATATAAATAAATATTAAAAAATCTCAGGACTTGGTCATTTTATTTCCAAAATTGTATTTAAACAAACTGAAAATAAACGAAAATGGGAGATAATACTCATTTATGTCTTAGAAACAGTGAGAATTAATAAGACATACCATCAAAATCCAATATTTCTAGTAAGTCTGCCTTACCATTCATAATGTATTTAATAAAAGATGGTTTGGACTGACTGTAAGAAGAAAAAAAAAATATTTAGATTTCTTGCCAAATATTATACACATCCTTACTTCTAGATAAAGTTTTAGTGAAAAAAATGTGCATTATATTCGGAAACATACAGTATTTCATATGACTTCTGTTTTCTCTTATCTCTCCAGGCTCTTTGGTCTAACAAGAGACATTATCCAATAGTTTGACATTCCAGTATGGTTGCTCTGTGTGAGAAAGGCTACAACTGAGATGAAAAAAGGTCTTCATATGTAAGTTCATAGTTTTATCCCGTTTTACTTTCATGAAGGTTTTTTGTTAACGTTATAGCTTTAACAGTGCATGGTGTAACTTATTTTTGTTTTCTCATTTTACTCTCCTCTTTATAAATGGTAATGCTTAAAAAATATTTGTAATTGAACTGTAAAGTTTAGCTGTTTTTTGAATTACAATTAAACTCACTGTTTTTCTGTGAAGCTGTTTTTGACTTAAAATTAAACTGACCGTTTTTCTGTGAAGCTGTTTTTGACTTAAAATTAAACTGACTGTTTTTCTGCGAAGCTGTTTTTTGAGTTAAAATTAAACTGACTGTTTTTCTGCGAAGCTGTTTTTTGAGTTAAAATTAAACTGACTGTTTTTTCTATGAAGCTGTTTTTGAGTTAAAATTAAACTGACTGTTTTTCTGCGAAGCTGTTTTTTGAGTTAAAATTAAACTGACTGTTTTTCTGTGAAGCTGTTTTTGACTTAAAATTAAAATGACTGTTTTTCTGTGAAGCCTTTTTTTGAGTTAAAATTAAACTGACTGTTTTTTCTATGAAGCTGTTTTTGAGTTAAAATTAAAATGACTGTTTTTCTGTGAAGCTTTTTTTTGAGTTAAAATTAAACTGACTGTTTCTCTGTGAAGCTTTTTTTGAGTTAAAATTAAACTGACTGTTTCTCTGTGAAGCTGTTTTTTGAGTTAAAATTAAACTGTTTTTCTGTGAAGCTGTTTTTGAAGTTAAAATTAAACTGTTTTTCTGTGAAGCTGTTTTTGAGTTAAAATTAAACTGACCGTTTTTCTGTGAAGCTGTTTTTTGACTTAAAATTAAACTGACTATTTTTCTGTGAAGCTGTTAGTTGACTTAAAATTAAACTGACTGTTTTTCTGTGAAGCTGTTTTTTGACTTTAACTACTATGATTATCTATTACAAATGTATTTTACTCTATCAACTTACTTATACACACAATGAGTTTGTCTTTTATTAAATTGAACTATATTAGTTTATTCAAAATATTTTACTATTTATTATTATTTTTTCTATCTTACTGGTACCTACTTATCTTAGTTTCTTCACTCGACAAACTTAACTTCAAATTCTCTTACATAAACCTCACATGCACTGACCATGAACTTACTGTCTTAGTCATAAAGGTGAAGGCATGAAAAACATTTAAGACAAAAATACTTTTTTTCTATGAACAGTTATTACATTCCAAATTAGAATTGGCATTAATTACAAAATTAGAAAGATAAGCAACTGTGAAAAACAGTCGGACTGTGTTATTACACAAACATTAAAACAATTCTACGGATGCAAGTAAAATGCATAGAAGGAAATCAACAAAATTTAATATTAATAACGAAACAGGCCGAGCGATAACCTTCTGTGTTTTTCATAGGAGTAATGTGAACTTCATTAAAGGTTATTTATAAGAAAAAATTATACGATTACGTCTTATATCAGATGTCGGGGGGAAGGAAAGTCCTGTCATCAAAAGAGTTGCATGATAATAATGTTTCATATCATAAAAAAAAAAGAAAAACTTTTAATTTGAGCATTGTCACTAAGAAACCACAAAATACAAGCACAATAAACTTTTCCCTGTTATATAAAAAGAGTAAAAAAACACAATTTCAGAAATCTGGCCATCAAATCAAAGCAATCATCACGCTTCTTTTTGAGACAATTTGATACTTAAGTACAAAGATAAAGACTCATTTGGCGTGAGCACGAAACTCGTTTAAATCTCACTAAATATCTTTTCTTCTGCTTAGGGTTAAGGTATAGTTGTCTCTAATTTTGAACTCCTCACCAGAGGGTAGATAACCAACTAACAGCACCCATCACTACAAAGGTTTTGTCTTGCTCTTTTGAACTGAATGATGGTATTGACTGTTACTTTTATAACAAGATCATAGACAAAAGTTTGAAGCATGTTAAATGATTTCACAATTTGAACTTTGGACCTTTCGATCTACACACCAGCATGCCTAAGTAAGCGTGCCTTCCAAGTAGCTGTTGTTCTATTGGTAGCTTTAAAAATTAAAGAACTCGAAAGAGGAGAAAATAAAAACTTCAGAAATGTGGTGGTAAACGAGCACACATTCATTTTACCAAGAAAACACTCAGCATTTTAACCAGAAACACGCATTTTAGAGCATAAGAGAAAAATATACAAGTACTTCAAGGTCATTATTTTCATGGTTAGTACACTGAGTATTTCATAATAAACAAGTTTCAAAGAGTATCCAACACTTACAAAAGATAACTAATAGAACTTCTTGTTCCTTGCCTTCACCTCCTGTGTTTGTTTCTTCATTATCAATACAAGTAAATCACTGTAAGTAGCACTGAATTAATCTTAAAGTAAGCCGAAAAGACTTATGGAATAAGATACTTTTTTTAATTAGTATTTTATACAAGTGCACGTATATTAACGCAAACTATTTACTAACTTTAATAAATAAAAAACTGATAAATTAAGTTACCGAGCATTTCCGTGATAGTTATTCAAGTTTGTAATAAAGGTATGGAAAAACTGTCTGGGTATTTTTAAATGTTCTCTTACTTACCTAACTACATTTCTTGATCATACTGTAGTTTAAAAAATGTACTACATAATGTAATGGAAAATATATAAAAATTTATACACAAAATAAATTAGCTCTCTCTCTATATATATATAGCAAGTTCATACAAATAATATGTTTGAGAAATGTAGCGTTTAGTAGTATTCCACTTATTGTACACTAACCAACTAAAATTCTAAAAATGTACTGCCTGTTTGAGCCCTAATGAAAGGAATCATATTTATTTTTTTCCAAGAAACATTGTTGAGGCAAGTAAAAATAGACGTTACATATTCTGTTAAGTTAGAGCTCATACACACAAAAAGAACCTCCGTCTTGATAGAAAGCAACGGTAGTTACTTGAAGAAAGTCAGACGACTGACTAGTTGGGGGCTTTTTTGAACACTTACATCAGCATGAATTATCTTACTTTGATTTTTTTTGCAGAATTCCATTTTCTTCAGCTACTATTTGGTTGATTGGTCTTGAAACTTCGATACAGCCATCGCTAGAATTATCATTTGTACAGAGAAACATAGGATTGATAGGGTGGGGTCGTAGAAAGAAGGTCCAAACTGTCCACCCTACGAGTCCAATGATTCCTAGTATCCAGGAGTACACAACGTAAGTAGGGAGAGGCTTAGTGATGGTATCCCAATCAAATTTGGCAATTACCAAAAACTCTGTGATGATGATGGCTAGCATGACCCAGGACTGCCGTCCAAATTGTTTACAGTTCCTGTAATATAGACATACCCAGTTTCTGTAATTACTTTGAATATTAAGGCTATTCCGTAATAACACAGAACAATGGTTTTAATATATTCTACATAGCTACTAAAATAGTACAAAAATAAACTACAGTGAATTGAATGAACATATCAAATACTTCAAGTTCCTGTACTATTCTGACTAACTTTCTAGACAGCTACAACTGTTTGTGATGTATTTTAAGTATGGTTCTTGTTTTAAAAGTTATTTCTTAGCTACGTAGAGAAAAATTTTAAAGTGGACTTCTTATTTTAAAGTCTCATCTTATAGCCATATATTAAAGATAAGTTGTGGTAAAGAATACTGAGAAATTATAACCATATATTAAAGATAAGTTGATGGTAAAGAATACTGAGAAATTATAACCATATATTAAAGATAAGTTGGTGGTAAAGAATACTGAGAAATTATAACCATATATTAAAGATAAGTTGGTGGTAAAGAATACTGAGAAATTATAACCATATATTAAAGATAAATTGGTGGTAAAAAGTGGTGAGAAATTATAACCATATATTTAAAGATAAGTTGGTGGTAAAGAATACTGAGAAATTATAACCATATATTAAAGATAAGTTGGTGGTAAAGAGTGGTGAGAAATTATAACCATATATTAAAGATAAGTTGGTGGTAAAGAACACTGAGAAATTCTAAATCCCAAGAAGACATGTAAATTGAGCTAACACAACAGAAAGTGTCATACTCAAGCCAAACAATCCACTTACGGATCATCCAGGTATTGGAATGTCTCTCGAATGGCAACAGCTCCGGCCAGTACTATGAGAATTAAGCGTAGAAGATTCAATACGTGTGGTGGCTCAAGCCAAAGTACAAACTTCAAGTAAAAAGTATTCAATTCAGACACTAGGAACTGAAAAAAAAAGGATAAACATTGTTAAAAAATATCAAGACTTAAACTGTTTAAAAAACATTGATAATTTGAAAAGTTACTACAATAATTTATCATACAGAACCTTATAAAATCTTTATTTTCTGCCAACTTATGAATAATTAGTGTGGACTGTTTGTTTTATTAAACACATGAGATTGTTTGGGTTTCAGCCAACTGACCTGGAAAGACTCTGTTTTTTTTATTATAATAATATAACTACATATATTGATGAAAACATACATGCTATAAAGTTTCAACAAGACACCAATATTTCATGTATACAATGATTTATATTTTATCTTTACAAGTTTATGGTTTATAACAAGAAACAAAATAGATTATTTTTCATATTTCATGTCAGTGCACAAATAAAGATAAGGAAAAGCTAATTTTAAGGTGTTTTTTTCTTCTTCTTCTTAGTCATCTTTTAATATTTCTGTAGTACGGTTATTTTCAGACTTACGATAAAAATTATGCCTAAAACAGAAAACCAACGACTGAGGGTAACGGTGGGTTTCCAGTCAAAATCAATCCAACTGTGTGGTCCAAACTGGGCTGCTATACGCCTGAGTTTACCAGAATATGTGGGAATATTCCACAAACCTCGCCAGTGATAAGGCTTCATGGATAAGTACTGAAGAGTCTTCATTCCAAAATATATACCCAATCCGTTACAAATCAATGCATCCAAAATCCACTAGAAAAGAAAAACGTATCATAGCATGTGGAAATGTTGAAACCTTCTGTAGTCTCAACTGTCAGACTTCTAAAACTCAAACATTTCAATTTTACCACAAAGCTAATTTTAAATACATAACTTGATACTTTCAGTGTTAATAAATAATACATTAACTAATATAGAAAGAACAATAACTTTATACTGGGATAAGTGAACTTATAAGATATTGACAAAGCTGTAATAGCGAAATATTTAGCTAATAACGTTACATTCTGGAGATATAGGTTGTGATTTTATTTACGTTTATAGAAATAACTTTAGACTTTTGTTGTAATATGATGCCTTTCTTAACCATCTCTCCAAGGACGTCTTTTTTGGTGCATGTCATGAGATTTTAGTGAGTTATATTCAAAATTTAATTAAACTACTTTATTATCATGATATACAAATGAATACAGTATAAAAACATGGCTAATAATCCATATTTTAATAGTATTAGGTCGTCAAGAAATTAAAGTCGCTTTTTTTAAGATGAAAAACCCAAACAACTTATCTAACAAAACAAAACATTTATTAAATGAAATAGTCTCCATTATTATCAATGATGCTTTTCTATCTTACAATCACGTTGTTAATGCCCTGATTAAAGAAATCAGTTCGCTGTGGATTGAGGAGTT